TTTATGTATAATATAATTTTATTATATATATGTTTCCTTAATAATGCCTGATAAAGATATTTTGAAACAACGAACAAAAGATATCGAAATAAAACGTCATTGCATTAACTTGTTAGAGAAATTTGGCTCTCTCAAGTATACAAGAAGCGTACTTGAAGAATTGGACTTGAAAGTAAGAGCTGAGATTGATCGCTTAGGAGGCAATCCGTTCCTAATAAAAATTCTGGATGAGTTGAAGAATTGGGATAGCAAAGAAGCGACCTAGGATCCTTTAACACGGACATTTTTATAAGAAAAAAAGTACAGAAATGTTCAAGCTTTAATTCGAGCTATTATATCATTTGAATTGTTTCATCTCAGCATGATAATTTTTCACTGATTTATTGCTAATGAAAGATGTTAAAAAATTGTGCTACAATTTAGTGGGCCCTTTTTCTTGCATGTGAATATAGATATGAGAATAATATGTGTATATCTAGTGAATATCTTTGATAGTTACTTAATGGATATGGATATTTGGATGGTATATATATATATATATATATATATATATATATATAGATCTACTAGTTATCTATAGAAGACATAGATCTTATATAACCATTTAGATATCTATTAGATCCAATTTTTTCTGTGTGAGTATTAAATTTATGTATTTGTTTATCATATAAAGTGTCTTCCTTAGTGCGCTAAAAATACTGACAGTACTGTTTTCCAAAGTTGTTTTCAGCGTGCTGCAAGAGAATAATAATTATTACCATTTTAGTGAAAATAGATCCTGAGGAGGTGCTAACTTCTGATTTCCGCACATATTCTCGAGGTAATACAAATTCAGTAATACATATGGCGACTGGTCTTTTCTAAATTTTTTGTAACGTTTGAAAAAAAGAAGGAATATCATTAATAAATCTATAATTTTATGTCATTAATAAATATATCATTTTATACGTCATTACATATTTTTACATTATTATTTATACTTTTATTTATTTATTATTATTTATATTTATTTATTTATTTATTTATTATATTTATTTATTATTATTATTATTTATTTATTATTTATACTTTTAGTTATAATGGTTAATTTTTCTATTTCAATATTTTTCACTCTTTTTTGTTGCTATAAAATTTATTACGCGTTATCAAGATTTAACTCTCTCTTCCTCTTCCCTCCCGCTCCTCTCTCAATCCATCTATTTATCCTTTTATCCATGTCTATGTTTACAATACTACAAATGTATTCCGATTTTCATTGCTGCCACAGTCTACAGACAATTTCGCAACTGTTGATTGCAGTAGCAATACTGTGTACTGTCAGTATATTTTCAGCGCATTTCGAAAAACATCCAATGTTACAACTATTACTATTACTCAAAGTTATCTGTTTTTGATAGCGAAATAGAATAAGGAATTGGGTGAAAAAAGTAATATATGACATTTGATACTAATATGAAAGACTAATATATGAAAAAATAAAATAATATATAAAAAAATAATACGATGATAACTAATATAGCAAAACAATTGTAATAAAAAATGCAATTAATAAATGCAAAATAAAATTTCTTGATAGGAAACTTCTTGAAACTTCTTGAAACTTCTTGAAACTTCTTGAAACTCCATGAAAGTTCTTGAAACTTTTTGAACAAAGGAAAAGGCTTGTAAAAATGTATTCAAGAATAAGAATAATAATTATGTTACATCCAGACTCTTGAATAGATATGTCATCTGGAAGAACGTAACTTATTTACCCCGATACACTTTACAAGAACGTGAGTGAGTCTAGTCGAACCAACTGTTTGAGCACATTCGCTATTTTATTATTTCACAAGAAATATGTATGTTAAGTAAATGTCGCTATTTTTAAAACAATTTATTTAATGAAAAAGCATTTTCTTTTTGATATTACCGAAGCAATGATGACTGAAATTAAATTAAATAAATTAAATAACATGTGAATAATTTTGGATCAAAATTATTGTTCCAACGTTCTAAGAATTTTTTTGACTATAGAAAGGATCAATTAATATTTTAAAGCATATTTCAAAATGTATACTTTCTTTGTATACACAATTTGCTCTGCAAATAAGATTTTCTTGTATAATTGAACCACTTCTGATGTGACAATTGCTATTGCACAATGGAACTGTTTTTCTAAATTTAATATGTGTGGATCGTCATCAAAATTAAAATCATCAATCTGTAAAAAGCAGGACAGAGCAACACGCATTCCATGAGACGCCAAAACAAAAAGGAATTGCAAGAAAAGAGGCAAAGAAACAAATAAGATAAAAGAGTTAATATCTGGATGAAAAAGAGAAAAGTCGTTATAAAATAATGCGCGAAGGAGCAACATGAAATTATTATTAACAGGCCAGGCAAATCAAGTGAGCAAGAAAGCCATAACGAAAGCGTGAACGCCATCTCATTATACGTGCTCCTATCATTGTGATGCGCTGCCATTTTCAGTCTTTGTTCGGACATAATATCAGCTGAGTAGCTTTCTTGCTTACTTGATTATTATTTTATAATGACTTCATTTTTGTCTGCTTTTGTCAATAAGAATATATGGTTAATTATTGATCATGACACCTAATTCTATTATTTTATTTTTGCAAATAGCATTCTTGCAATTATATGTTTGAAATCTGACAAGTCAATTTTTTACCTTTTTATACGCTACGTCCATCTCAGCGCAGTGGTTTCGTCTTTCAATATTTATTTTATTTTGATTGTTAACTATCAACCACTTATCAACCATTAATTTTAATTCCTTTATAATATTTCATGATTCCTACGCAGACAAGCTACTTCAGTCTTTTTAAGTCAAGATTTCATCGACGTATTCTTCTTACTTCCTCAGTCAAAAATTCTTCTACAAATCATACGAAAAAGTAGTAAAAGTAGATAAAAGTCTATAAACAAATTCAATAATATAATTTTGAAAAAATGTATTATATATATATTTTTTATATATTGATGAAAATGATAAGCTATCAAAAGTAAAAAAGTTATGTCAAAATATATTCAACTAGAAGAAATTAATAAAAAGACAAACATACACACATTATAAAATTTATTAAAAGAGGAAGGCTAAGGACCGTGGCGTAGGTTATTACCTTTTCAAAAAAAGGTAAGAAAAAGAAGTCGAGTCATCTCAGTAGTAAAACATTATTGTATAGAACTATTTTACAAAAAATTATTTTAATAAAAAATTGCTGTATTAAAAAAATTGTGTAAAATGGTTGTCATAACTATCTACAAAAATTAATGATATATTTAAATACAAAATTACGTCGAGAATAAAAGAGTGCGATTTTATTTTATGTTTATCAACAGTGTGTGTGTGTGTGTGCGTGTGTGTGTGTGTGTATGTGTGTGTGTGTGTTAGATGTGATTTACTGCTAATAAATAATTAGATGAAGAAAAATTATGTTTACATTTTCGTCGAAAGTTCTTACATCTTTGTCGTAAAAGTCAGAATCCCGATTTCTTCAACGATGAACAGTTGATTCATGTAGCTCGTAATTTAAAAAATTTTAATTATTAAAAAACTCGACGCTGCTAAATAATATACAAATAAATTTGGTACATTTTTTAAAATTAGAACCCCTATTTTTGACACGTTTCTTAAACGTATCCAATATTTTTAAATTTTATAAAACGAATGTGTGCTACTTGGAGTATCATAGCATATCTTAAAGTTATTTATTGACGACAGCCATGTGTTATAAAACGTTTCGTCATCTATTGATAATGCGTAAAAGGTTAACTGTCCATTTGATAATGCGTTAAAGGTTAACTGTCCATTTGATAATAATCCTATCTTGTTGCAATGTAGCAGGAATTAAATCAAACTTCAAATATTGTCTCGAAAATATTATAGTTCTAAGAAGTGACATATAAGAGATGGTATATAGAATCCAATAAGAGATGGTATATAGAATCCAATAAATATTATTGTTATATGTACTACATAACTGATATAACACAGTTAATGAAGAAAAAATTGTAAATTGATATGCATGTATTAATTTACAATTTTTTCTTCATTAACTATGTTACTTGAATGTTTGTTTTCTTACGATACTTATTAGATATTTAACATGTATATTTTTGTATTTTATATATTATATAAGATCTGCACTTTTTGATGTAATATTAACTATTTTGTAAATTCATAAATGGTACAACACACAATTGTAATTTTCTTTTCAAGTTTTTTTGTATTGCGTTTTAAAGCTTTTTCCTATTTCAAACTGTACATATAAATTTTGTACATATATATTATATATCATTGTTGTGGAGCGAATAAATATTTAAAAATATTATAAAATATTTGAAAATATGTCTATTATTACACTGAGGGAAAAATTTTTTTAAATCAAATAAATTTGTTTTCTTGAAACTTTTGCTTTAAATGCAAGGAATTGTTTATTTCATTTAAGCAAAAGTATTTAATTTTAATTAAATATGCATGTTATATTAAGTACATTATTTTCATATCTATTTCATATATATTTTTTATATTTAAATACTATTTTCGTAAAATATATACTATAATTTATTAAATTAAATATAATATTTTTTTAAATTAAAGATTTAAAATTTTGGGAAACAAAAATGCATTTTAATAAATATTTTGTAAAATTAAAATGAAAATATTTAATTAAAAATTATATTTTTTAAGCATATACATTTTTTAAACATATGTAAATAAATACTTAGCTTAAACAAACAGACGTTTTGAATACAAGTAAATACGTGACACGTAGTACCCACCGAATAAACAGTTTTCTTGAGTGAACTAAAATTTTTTTATTTCAAGATAATTTTTTCCTCAGTGTACGTATGAATTTAAAAAGAGATTATAATATAAATACTTGTTTAATTACTTTTAGTTATTCATAACAGAATTATTCCTAATTATTCTTAGCAGAAGTTTCTTTAATGATATAAATATATTTTTGAAAATAAAAATGTTGTAAAGAGCCAACGCAGTTGTAAGGCGTGTTTTTGAAGAAAAAAATAATCCATGAAACGATCACATTAAACGATCTTTCTTCTTTATTGACCTCAAACGTTTCGGACTCAGTTCGAGCCTTCTTCAGTGATTCTGACAAGACAAAAAAGAACCAAATAAGATAACATTAAAAACGCAGTCATTAATAGATAAGAGAGAAAAAATGTAGTTATCATACGTGCAAAGTCTTAGAGAGTGAACGTGAACTCGTCAAGGCAAGTGGACTCGAAGGAAACCAAATACAAGTAGCCCTTTAAGCGGTGCAAGGCCCAAAGAGTGATACACTAACAAAATAAATGTATACAATCTAGAAACAAAGCCTTGCAATAAAAAATTAAAATTAGACAAAGGCAACTCACTCGGACTCGAGAAGACGAAACAGAAACGAAGACGAATAATCAGCACGCACATAGCCGACTAAGCAAAAAGATTCGAATGCTAATGATGACGTCATAGTGTGATCAACAAAAACAATCCGTATACACTGAGGAAAAGAACAGTCCTAACAAACAACAAACTATTAAATTTTAGACATGATTTCAATAATCGATAAACACGAAGTATTCAATTTTACGGTGTCACTATGGAGATTCAACTTGGAGATTGATAGTCTGTTGAATAGATGGGATTATATTGGAAAGAATTGTCGGATACCTCGCGATGAATTTTTAACGGCAGTTTGCCTCGTTTTAAACTCTACATTTTTTATGTTCAACGGTGTTTGCTATCAGCAAACATTCGGCACCATGGGCTCTCCTCTTTCGCCGATTATTGCTGAGATCACGCTCCAAGATTTGGAGTCAAGGGCCATCGCGACTCTTCCTGTGGATCTCCCATTTTATTTTAGATATGTTGACAACGTTGTGTTAGCGGCTCCCTCCTCAATGCTAGTACCATTCTGGACACTTTCAACTGTCGTTCCACACAAGATTGCAGTTTACTATGGAGGAAGGTGCCGACAATCGTTTGAATTTCCTTGACGTCACTATTATTTTGGAGGATGGATTGATTCATTTTAATTGGTTTCACAAACCGACTTTCTCGGAGATACCTCCATTTTGAGTCGCGAGACACTCCTTTTGCCAGAAAAAGGGTACAATAAGTGGTCTTACTGATAAAGTTTTCTGGCTTTCTCATCCAAAATTTCATAAAGAGAATTTTGAATTTATTATTAACATTCTGTTGAACAATGGGTATCCTCTCTTTTTTATTTTCCGTACAATTATTGACCGACTTAATATTTTATTACCTAGATTTAACAATAGACTTAATGATGCTTTGACTAGATAGAAATGTGAGTGACGATGTTAATGAAGGAGTGATGATCTCATTCTATTTTAATGTTCCGTATATTAATAACATATCTGAGCGTTTCCGGCTTTGCGTCAGAGATCTTGATATCAAACTTTTCTACACTGGAATAAATAATTTGCGCCGTATTATTTAAGTCGGCAAAGATAAGATGGATAAAAATCGCGCAGCAATATAGTTTACAAGATCAACTGTATGGATTCCGACGCTTCTTACGTTGGACAAATGGGACGCTTATTAAGGACGAGGATTAAAGAACATAAAAGAAACCTTACGTCCGTCATTGCCGAGCACAGAGCGCTAGAACATACGTTTAATTTTGACGACATTGAGGTTTTGGATGAGGAAACATTTTTAGAAAAGAGACTAATATAGGAAATGATCTATGTTAAGCGTCAAAAGAATGCGTTGAATCTCCATAGTGACACCTTAAAATTGAATACTTCGTGTGTTTATCGATTATTGAAAACATGTCTAAAATTTAATAGTTTGTTGTTTGTTAGGACTGTTCTTGTCCTCAGTGTATACGGATTGTTTTTGTCGATCACACTATGATGTCATTTTATCGTTAGCATTCNAATGCAAAATAAAATTTCTTGATAGGAAACTTCTTGAAACTTCTTGAAACTTCTTGAAACTTCTTGAAACTCCATGAAAGTTCTTGAAACTTTTTGAACAAAGGAAAAGGCTTGTAAAAATGTATTCAAGAATAAGAATAATAATTATGTTACATCCAGACTCTTGAATAGATATGTCATCTGGAAGAACGTAACTTATTTACCCCGATACACTTTACAAGAACGTGAGTGAGTCTAGTCGAACCAACTGTTTGAGCACATTCGCTATTTTATTATTTCACAAGAAATATGTATGTTAAGTAAATGTCGCTATTTTTAAAACAATTTATTTAATGAAAAAGCATTTTCTTTTTGATATTACCGAAGCAATGATGACTGAAATTAAATTAAATAAATTAAATAACATGTGAATAATTTTGGATCAAAATTATTGTTCCAACGTTCTAAGAATTTTTTTGACTATAGAAAGGATCAATTAATATTTTAAAGCATATTTCAAAATGTATACTTTCTTTGTATACACAATTTGCTCTGCAAATAAGATTTTCTTGTATAATTGAACCACTTCTGATGTGACAATTGCTATTGCACAATGGAACTGTTTTTCTAAATTTAATATGTGTGGATCGTCATCAAAATTAAAATCATCAATCTGTAAAAAGCAGGACAGAGCAACACGCATTCCATGAGACGCCAAAACAAAAAGGAATTGCAAGAAAAGAGGCAAAGAAACAAATAAGATAAAAGAGTTAATATCTGGATGAAAAAGAGAAAAGTCGTTATAAAATAATGCGCGAAGGAGCAACATGAAATTATTATTAACAGGCCAGGCAAATCAAGTGAGCAAGAAAGCCATAACGAAAGCGTGAACGCCATCTCATTATACGTGCTCCTATCATTGTGATGCGCTGCCATTTTCAGTCTTTGTTCGGACATAATATCAGCTGAGTAGCTTTCTTGCTTACTTGATTATTATTTTATAATGACTTCATTTTTGTCTGCTTTTGTCAATAAGAATATATGGTTAATTATTGATCATGACACCTAATTCTATTATTTTATTTTTGCAAATAGCATTCTTGCAATTATATGTTTGAAATCTGACAAGTCAATTTTTTACCTTTTTATACGCTACGTCCATCTCAGCGCAGTGGTTTCGTCTTTCAATATTTATTTTATTTTGATTGTTAACTATCAACCACTTATCAACCATTAATTTTAATTCCTTTATAATATTTCATGATTCCTACGCAGACAAGCTACTTCAGTCTTTTTAAGTCAAGATTTCATCGACGTATTCTTCTTACTTCCTCAGTCAAAAATTCTTCTACAAATCATACGAAAAAGTAGTAAAAGTAGATAAAAGTCTATAAACAAATTCAATAATATAATTTTGAAAAAATGTATTATATATATATTTTTTATATATTGATGAAAATGATAAGCTATCAAAAGTAAAAAAGTTATGTCAAAATATATTCAACTAGAAGAAATTAATAAAAAGACAAACATACACACATTATAAAATTTATTAAAAGAGGAAGGCTAAGGACCGTGGCGTAGGTTATTACCTTTTCAAAAAAAGGTAAGAAAAAGAAGTCGAGTCATCTCAGTAGTAAAACATTATTGTATAGAACTATTTTACAAAAAATTATTTTAATAAAAAATTGCTGTATTAAAAAAATTGTGTAAAATGGTTGTCATAACTATCTACAAAAATTAATGATATATTTAAATACAAAATTACGTCGAGAATAAAAGAGTGCGATTTTATTTTATGTTTATCAACAGTGTGTGTGTGTGTGTGCGTGTGTGTGTGTGTGTATGTGTGTGTGTGTGTTAGATGTGATTTACTGCTAATAAATAATTAGATGAAGAAAAATTATGTTTACATTTTCGTCGAAAGTTCTTACATCTTTGTCGTAAAAGTCAGAATCCCGATTTCTTCAACGATGAACAGTTGATTCATGTAGCTCGTAATTTAAAAAATTTTAATTATTAAAAAACTCGACGCTGCTAAATAATATACAAATAAATTTGGTACATTTTTTAAAATTAGAACCCCTATTTTTGACACGTTTCTTAAACGTATCCAATATTTTTAAATTTTATAAAACGAATGTGTGCTACTTGGAGTATCATAGCATATCTTAAAGTTATTTATTGACGACAGCCATGTGTTATAAAACGTTTCGTCATCTATTGATAATGCGTAAAAGGTTAACTGTCCATTTGATAATGCGTTAAAGGTTAACTGTCCATTTGATAATAATCCTATCTTGTTGCAATGTAGCAGGAATTAAATCAAACTTCAAATATTGTCTCGAAAATATTATAGTTCTAAGAAGTGACATATAAGAGATGGTATATAGAATCCAATAAGAGATGGTATATAGAATCCAATAAATATTATTGTTATATGTACTACATAACTGATATAACACAGTTAATGAAGAAAAAATTGTAAATTGATATGCATGTATTAATTTACAATTTTTTCTTCATTAACTATGTTACTTGAATGTTTGTTTTCTTACGATACTTATTAGATATTTAACATGTATATTTTTGTATTTTATATATTATATAAGATCTGCACTTTTTGATGTAATATTAACTATTTTGTAAATTCATAAATGGTACAACACACAATTGTAATTTTCTTTTCAAGTTTTTTTGTATTGCGTTTTAAAGCTTTTTCCTATTTCAAACTGTACATATAAATTTTGTACATATATATTATATATCATTGTTGTGGAGCGAATAAATATTTAAAAATATTATAAAATATTTGAAAATATGTCTATTATTACACTGAGGGAAAAATTTTTTTAAATCAAATAAATTTGTTTTCTTGAAACTTTTGCTTTAAATGCAAGGAATTGTTTATTTCATTTAAGCAAAAGTATTTAATTTTAATTAAATATGCATGTTATATTAAGTACATTATTTTCATATCTATTTCATATATATTTTTTATATTTAAATACTATTTTCGTAAAATATATACTATAATTTATTAAATTAAATATAATATTTTTTTAAATTAAAGATTTAAAATTTTGGGAAACAAAAATGCATTTTAATAAATATTTTGTAAAATTAAAATGAAAATATTTAATTAAAAATTATATTTTTTAAGCATATACATTTTTTAAACATATGTAAATAAATACTTAGCTTAAACAAACAGACGTTTTGAATACAAGTAAATACGTGACACGTAGTACCCACCGAATAAACAGTTTTCTTGAGTGAACTAAAATTTTTTTATTTCAAGATAATTTTTTCCTCAGTGTACGTATGAATTTAAAAAGAGATTATAATATAAATACTTGTTTAATTACTTTTAGTTATTCATAACAGAATTATTCCTAATTATTCTTAGCAGAAGTTTCTTTAATGATATAAATATATTTTTGAAAATAAAAATGTTGTAAAGAGCCAACGCAGTTGTAAGGCGTGTTTTTGAAGAAAAAAATAATCCATGAAACGATCACATTAAACGATCTTTCTTCTTTATTGACCTCAAACGTTTCGGACTCAGTTCGAGCCTTCTTCAGTGATTCTGACAAGACAAAAAAGAACCAAATAAGATAACATTAAAAACGCAGTCATTAATAGATAAGAGAGAAAAAATGTAGTTATCATACGTGCAAAGTCTTAGAGAGTGAACGTGAACTCGTCAAGGCAAGTGGACTCGAAGGAAACCAAATACAAGTAGCCCTTTAAGCGGTGCAAGGCCCAAAGAGTGATACACTAACAAAATAAATGTATACAATCTAGAAACAAAGCCTTGCAATAAAAAATTAAAATTAGACAAAGGCAACTCACTCGGACTCGAGAAGACGAAACAGAAACGAAGACGAATAATCAGCACGCACATAGCCGACTAAGCAAAAAGATTCGAATGCTAATGATGACGTCATAGTGTGATCAACAAAAACAATCCGTATACACTGAGGAAAAGAACAGTCCTAACAAACAACAAACTATTAAATTTTAGACATGATTTCAATAATCGATAAACACGAAGTATTCAATTTTACGGTGTCACTATGGAGATTCAACTTGGAGATTGATAGTCTGTTGAATAGATGGGATTATATTGGAAAGAATTGTCGGATACCTCGCGATGAATTTTTAACGGCAGTTTGCCTCGTTTTAAACTCTACATTTTTTATGTTCAACGGTGTTTGCTATCAGCAAACATTCGGCACCATGGGCTCTCCTCTTTCGCCGATTATTGCTGAGATCACGCTCCAAGATTTGGAGTCAAGGGCCATCGCGACTCTTCCTGTGGATCTCCCATTTTATTTTAGATATGTTGACAACGTTGTGTTAGCGGCTCCCTCCTCAATGCTAGTACCATTCTGGACACTTTCAACTGTCGTTCCACACAAGATTGCAGTTTACTATGGAGGAAGGTGCCGACAATCGTTTGAATTTCCTTGACGTCACTATTATTTTGGAGGATGGATTGATTCATTTTAATTGGTTTCACAAACCGACTTTCTCGGAGATACCTCCATTTTGAGTCGCGAGACACTCCTTTTGCCAGAAAAAGGGTACAATAAGTGGTCTTACTGATAAAGTTTTCTGGCTTTCTCATCCAAAATTTCATAAAGAGAATTTTGAATTTATTATTAACATTCTGTTGAACAATGGGTATCCTCTCTTTTTTATTTTCCGTACAATTATTGACCGACTTAATATTTTATTACCTAGATTTAACAATAGACTTAATGATGCTTTGACTAGATAGAAATGTGAGTGACGATGTTAATGAAGGAGTGATGATCTCATTCTATTTTAATGTTCCGTATATTAATAACATATCTGAGCGTTTCCGGCTTTGCGTCAGAGATCTTGATATCAAACTTTTCTACACTGGAATAAATAATTTGCGCCGTATTATTTAAGTCGGCAAAGATAAGATGGATAAAAATCGCGCAGCAATATAGTTTACAAGATCAACTGTATGGATTCCGACGCTTCTTACGTTGGACAAATGGGACGCTTATTAAGGACGAGGATTAAAGAACATAAAAGAAACCTTACGTCCGTCATTGCCGAGCACAGAGCGCTAGAACATACGTTTAATTTTGACGACATTGAGGTTTTGGATGAGGAAACATTTTTAGAAAAGAGACTAATATAGGAAATGATCTATGTTAAGCGTCAAAAGAATGCGTTGAATCTCCATAGTGACACCTTAAAATTGAATACTTCGTGTGTTTATCGATTATTGAAAACATGTCTAAAATTTAATAGTTTGTTGTTTGTTAGGACTGTTCTTGTCCTCAGTGTATACGGATTGTTTTTGTCGATCACACTATGATGTCATTTTATCGTTAGCATTCGAATCTTTTTGCTTAGTCGGCTATATGCGTGGTGAGTATTCGTGTCCGTTTCTGTTTCGTCTTCTCGAGTCCGAGTGAGTTGCCTTTGTCTAATTTTAATTTTTTATTGCAAGGCTTTGTTTCTAGATTGTATACATTTATTTTGTTAGTGTATCACTCTTTGGGCCTTGCACCGCTTAAAGGGCTACTTGTATTTGGTTTCCTTCGAGTCCACTTGCCTTGACGAGTTCACGTTCACTCTCTAAGACTTTGCACGTATGATAACTACATTTTTTCTCTCTTATCTATTAATGACTGCGTTTTTAATGTTATCTTATTTGGTTCTTTTTTGTCTTGTCAGAATCACTGAAGAAGGCTCGAACTGAGTCCGAAACGTTTGAGGTCAATAAAGAAGAAAGATCGTTTAATGTGATCGTTTCATGGATTATTTTTTTCTTCAAAAACACGCCTTACAACTGCGTTGGCTCTTTATGGCCTATTATTATATTTTATTTTAATTTGTTAATATCAAGTGCCTTTAATTTTCTTTATTTTTTATTTTAAAAATGTTGTATATCGTTTAATATATGAATGGATTGAATAACTTCACAAAAGGCGACCGAAACATTACAAAATTATTTTCATTTTAATTAAAGTGCTTATCATTAATTTGGAAAGTCGCCATATCAAATTACATAACATAATACTCGATGCTTATTGGTCCATAATACTCGATGCTTATTGGTCTTATGTTATGCATATGTATATGTAGCTATACAATTTGTGTGTGAGGGCCCTAAGACATCAAGCAACACATGATCAGATTGATCATTCGAAATCAATCACTACTGTGATCGTTAATCAAAAAACATTATCGCGTTACTTGTCGCTTAATTTAAACTACATTATATGAATATCACAGAAAACGTGTAATTGTGTACGAATAGTGGATTTTAAAAAGCATAGCTCGTAGTAACACAATCTTACGAACAAATTGTCATAACTACATTTTTAATAAAACCAAAGATGTAGCAAATATTTAAGTGAATTCGATTACACGCTGCGTGTGCTTGAATATGTTACATGATCTATAATTTTATAACTTTTTTGATCATTTGTAATTTGATTGCTATTATCTTTTTATCGATTGCTTTTCTACTATAATATTAATAAAGAAGGAAAGCTGATAATAATTATATTCCTGTGTTCGCGATACAATCAAATGAATATGTAATATTTTGCATTGTCATTTGTTCTCTTAAAAAAATAGAAGTTATTTACTTACTAGGAACTCTTAAGATAAATACTTTGATCGTGACCATGAAGAGAAATCTAAAAACATAATATTAGAAAATAATAACTTGCTATTCGTTAAAACTGATATTTAAAGAATTTATCGAAAATATATGTATATATGTGAATTAATATCAATTCGATTCATACATCAGAATTAGTAGATTGAAAAAAACAATTAATTGTGGATTGAACGGAAACCGATTGAGTGCAAACGTTTACGAAAAATGCAAATTATGTTTGGAACAATTTTATGTGTTTTATTGAACAGTTTAGTACTGACAAAGGCAACTATCACGCCGAAGGATGATAACACTTCAAACATCTTTCAGGAAGAAAGTATTTCCATATATCCGGATTTAAATTTCACGCAGGTAGGAGATATTTTTCGCTTAAACTTAAGAAACAATTGAATGTTATTGCAGCTAGTAATGTGACTAAAAATGAATGAATAAATTATATATTAAATTTATATAATAACATAAGATAAAATAAAACAATTCAATATAAAAGTAAAAAATATATATGATGTTGTAAAAAACAGATGGATAAAGTTTCGAAATTTTGATTACAAATGAATGTTATATAGTATATTAAATTTAATTAAAACGATATTTTAAAATTTGACTATGTATTTTCTCTCTCTCTCTCTCTCTCTCTCTCTATATATATATATATATATATATAATTATATATATAATTATTATTTCTAAAAATAACAATTTTTAAATTTAATGAAGTTTTCTGTCTACTATCTGCTACATTAATATATACATACGATGACACTTCAATAGATTTTTATATTATTTTTCTTCAATTTCTAAAATTTCTTTATATTTCTAGATATTTCTGATATTTATAATATTTATTGATATATAGTAAGATTTAAGTAGATTTTATTTTAAGAAATTATTTTAAAAAGTTAACATTACTTCTTTGTGTTAAGGGTAATTATATAACGGAATAAAGCTAAGTATCGAGATAGAAAATCTGTCTAATAAAAAAATCGTTCATCAAACATTCTTCAAATTGTATCTATTAACGTTAATATTTCGGTCGACGATACATTCGATAACAATTGCTAGAATTTATATTAATTTTCATTGTGCATATATTCATTCATATACAATTACATGCACATATTCTTATCGAAGCATTATCGGTTTATACGATCGGTTTATATTATCATTTTCAGGATTTGAGTGTTAAAAATATAATGACACTCGAGAAAAAACTTGACAAGGATATAAATAAAAGAATATATATAATTACTATGATTAATATTTAATAACAGTAAAGAAACAATATTTTTAACCTTTTTATGCTTGAAGTACAAACATTAATAGAACTTTAATAATATTGGCAAATTTTTGAAAAAAATTTAAGTTACGTAAAATTGAGAAGAATTAACTAACCTATCATGAGAAAGAATAAAATCATTAGACAAAATTGTTTTAATAATTGCGAAGAACTACTTTCGCTTCTACTACTTGCTAAAAGCTGTTATGATTCGTCATTGACTCTTGTCAACCTATATTGATTGATTTTTTTTTTTGATATGATGAATTATGTTTGATATACAAGATGTTTTTAAAAAAAATAAAAAATAGAGTTTACAATATGAATAAAACTAAAATTGCATTGAATATATATCATATAAAAATGGTTTATATCAAACAAGTATTATTAAGCATACAAAGAAGGAATGGTAATTTTTCGTTTAATTTTATAATTTATATAATTTATCATTAAAAGCACCAGAAATAACCGCTTCAACGATATTCATTTTATAATTCTTTTCGTATGTTACACTTTATGAAGAATATTTCAATGTCCGAGAAAAATTATCATCGTATATTAAATTTCAAATCTGACCGGAGTCATTCTGATAGTACTGTGAGAAATGAGCGAGAAGTCGATGAAGTTACGCTTGCAAATATTTCTATCATCCCAAAATCTATCGGTAAGTTACAAAAAATGCATCAAACATTAATAACATAATCCATGACGAAAAAGTGTAAATACAATTTAAATTTAAGAGAGAGTGGAAATAAATTTAAAAATACCTTTCAGCAGTGAAAAAAAATATAAATTCTATTTTGTCGAAAAAAGAAATAAAAAAACATAATATAAACATAATATTGTATATAAAAATTGTCATGATATAAGGTAAAGTCAATTTGATTAATTTGCTACCTGGTTTTAAAACAATCACAAAAATTATACTCCTGATTTCTTAAACTGTAGAAATTTTTCGAAAACTTGTTATACTTGTTATTTTATTAAAAGTTATTTATTCGTTTTTGTTAAGTATTAATAATTACTTTTCTAAGTCTTAAATGACACAAAAATTTTTTATATCATTTTATTTTTTAAAGATCAATACTGTGCTAATTTTCATATTTTGTAATTTAGATTTATTTTTCCTCTTTCCTTTATTTTCATATTAAATTGATCTTTCTGATTTACTGAGATATCCACATAATTATTAATATATTGTAATTATAATATGTACAATCTATTCTAGAAAACAATTTGAACAAGCCAACATCTCTCAGAGCATTTGTACAAAATTATATTTAAACGTAATCATATAAAATATGTTTTTATACAAAATTACTTTAAACTCTTATTTACAAATCATTTTTGTTATTTTAAATGTTCTATATACTCTAATGGGTACTATATATATATATATATATATATATATATATATATATATACATATATATATATATACATATATATATATATATATATATATATCTTTCTCTAATGGTTAATTAATGTTTATACATATATAAACATTAGTTATAGAATTAATTAAACATTACTAATTATATTTTTATTTAAAAATTTAAAAAATCCGTTATATTTATATTTATTTGTATGAGAAAGACATAAAAATACATTGAAAAATAAAATGACAGATATAAAAATATCTATTCTTAATGTAATAAAAAGATATCGTATTCGTACATAAAGTAAAAATATATCATAAAATATATTTTAACATTGATATAAAATGTTATCTATATTTTAATAAAAGAATAGAAATGCTTATGAAAAGAGATGCTTATCTTTAGCTTAGAATTGTATTTATTCGACTGATATTATTTCTGTGTCATTAATTCGTTTGACTTCTGCAAAAAAGTAAAATTCATCGCATATATATAAATATAAAAATATATATTATTACATTATTTTTACAGATAAATTAAAGAAGTTATAGTTTCCCAATGGTTTCAAAATATTAATATTACATTGCTAATACCCAATTCATATTTTGTTAATTTATATTTCTACAATGTTTGTGTAATGTTGCATTGCAATTTGTGATATTGCAATATTGATGCAAAGTAGTTGTAACATTCTGTGCTGCATAGATATTATAATATGATATACTAATATTTTTAAATGTGAATAGGCCTAAAATTTAAAAAAATTAAATTTTTGTAATAAAGTTACAAGTAAAAATAAATTTTTAAAAACATGCACACACGAAGATATTAAAATTATATTTTTGCTTAATACAGATATTTCGGACACTCCTGGAATAATAGTGAAAAAATATTACTTATTATTGATGTTAGGTTTTATCGTTATAGTTATTATAATCTGCCTCTGCTACTTTTATTGTTGTAAGTATTGTATATTTGATGATGGTATCAACTTGAATTGTTGATTATACATATATATCTGATATAATATCTAAAAATTTACTAAAAATAGTAATTTACTTATACAAAAGTAAACGAATAAATTTACTAAAAAAACGAAAAATTTTATAATACATTATTATTACATAATTAAGTCGAAATTTTATAACAGTGTATCGTCAATGCAGAGGGAATAATGAACAATTTTTGTCTTCAACAATGTTCGATATAGAATTGGACATTATGGACCGGATGAATGTGCGATAACTAAAATAGCACGTAAAGAAATTAGATTTACAAAACATATTGATACCGGCACATTCGGAATGGTAAAAATTAATGTTTTCAAGCAATGTTTCAAATTAATTTCTAAATGAACAAAACAGATATGTATTTTCTAATAAAGATACAAAAGAAGAAATTATATAAATTTTTATAATAGATTATAAATATAAAATTTGGATGAGACAACAAACATTCACTTTATTACATATTTTTCGTTAAATTATTTAATATAAAGTGAAATATAATATTACTTGACATTAAACTATACATTTTCTAATAAAGTACGTAATGTAAATTTGTGTTAAATATTTCGCAGGTGTATCAAGGAAAAGTGAAAAACTTAGAAAGTTCGGGCACAGAGATATCCGTTGCAATAAAAACGCTTCGGAAAGATGCTTCTTCCCATGAGAAAAAGAGATTGTTAAAGCCGAACATATGAATCGTTTTAGACACAAACATATATTAAGATTGTTGGGCGTTTGTTTGGATGGAATTTCTCCGTTTCTAGTGTACGAATTAATGGAAACTGGTGATTTGTCAAAATATTTGAGAGATTGTCGAAATTTGGAAGCGTCAGATTCGCACGCTCTGCGTTTGCAAGATTTGTTCGCCATGTGCGAAGATGTTGCGCGAGGTTGTTGCTACTTGGAAGAATTGCATTTCGTACATAAAGATCTAGCGTGTCGCAATTGTTTAGTATCTTCGAGAAATCGCGAGAATCGTATTATCAAAATTGGAGATTTTGGATTAGCTAGAGATATCTACAAGGATGATTATCGCATGGTAAATACAATTATTTAAAAAAATTAAAAAATGAATTCATTTGAAAATACTATCCATTTTTTTATCATAATAGTATCGTGCATTGTTTCTTCAAGTAATATGGAATATAAATAGTTTTTATATATATATAGCAAGAGATAACGTTTTTCTTTTTGCACATATTGTAAAAATGAACAACTTGAACCAGAAAATTAAATGTCTTAATGTTTTAATTTTGTAAAATCATGTTTTAGAGAGGAGAAGATTTGCTTCCTGTTCGCTGGATGGCACCCGAATCTTTGATCATCAGAACATTTACTTCTCAAAGCGATGTTTGGTCATTTGGTGTTTTAATGTGGGAAATTACATCGTTGGGTGAGCAACCTTATAGTGCCAAGACTAATGAGGAAGTATTTTATGTAATTGCTGGAAACAGGTTGCCGATGCCTCTTAACTGTCCGTCACTATTGTATCAGTTGATGGAACGTTGCTGGAGTGAAGCAGCGGCTGCTAGACCAAATTTCGAATTTTGTCTGAACAATATTATAGCATTAAGAGAGAACATAAAAGATGCCTTACTGAGTCCAGTTGATACTATTTAGCTGATATTATAATTAAATTAATGTTTATTTTCCAAATGATCCAATAAATCTTACTGTAGGAAAAATATTTCTAGATAATTGATTCTGTCTGTTCTGAATCTTTAAATTTTATTAGCAAATCATATTAAAAAATAAAGAAATAATATAAGATAAAATTATGATATATAAGATTAATAATAAAAGATTAGAAGATGAAGAAATATGATAATTTTTAAATCTATATTTAACATCTGTACATCATATAAAATTTGTATAAAAACTTTTTTTAAAGTTTATATTTTTAATTTGAATAAAATTATAAGAAAACATAATTGAATTTTTTTAGCTATATATATATATTTTTTTTTTAATATTATATTTGCTGAAATCATGTTACATACTAGAAAACAGAAAGTCTGTTTCTTATTAAAATATTTATGGAACATTTCATTATATATTTTGAGATTTATAACTTTATATTTATTCGAACATAATTTTGTTTAAATGGCTTGATAACTGTTTCAAAAAGTTAAAAATTAAAAATTAGAAGGAAAAATTGAAAAGTTAATAATTTCTCTTATATCTAAGATCGATGTGATAGTGATAACAATTTTAAATTTACAACTATCATTCACTTGCAACTTTTCTTCACTCTCTTTTTAGATTTTTCGTTTGTATATAATTATAAAAAATTTTTCTGTGTTTAGAGATGTTTTGAAAGATAATATTTATAAGAATATTATATTATATATTTTAAAATATTTTAATCTAATATAATAGAATATATTTTAATAGAATATATTTTAATTTGTAATATTATAATCTACTTAAATATTTTGCAGAACAGTGTCATTCTTTTTAATAATAATATATAATTCTTTTAATAACTTTTATAATAAATTAATAACTTTTATAATAACTTTTCTCTATTACCTTTGTAATTTGTTCATAGCAACCTTTAATCCATAAATGATTTTGCAATGTCCATTCAGTATCTTCATCAGATAAATGCAACAGGAAGAGAGCGGGATATCGTATTAAATTTCCATATAATTTTTTTCCATTATAATTTATATATTTATTACATTCTAGTTTACGATTGAAATATATCATCATGCTGTGTGTTATCAAAAAAAAACAAACAAAATTTTAGTTGCAGACAAGAAAATAAAAATAACGTTTGTTATTTTCATTCATTGATTATAAAATGTATTAATTATTAACTTAATATGTTATTAAGACTTACATTATTAAGTACGTATTATTTTTGACTTATAATTAAGTGTTATTTATTGATATAAAATGTTATATAAAATATTACTTGGAATTGCCAATAATTGTCATCAAATTTATACGGTGAATGATATTTGTGATATTTTCCTGTGAAAATATTTAACGGATAATTTAGCACGCGCGATATCTTTCTTATATAAAAGTACTCTGCATTATCCCAGTCTTTGTATTACTGAAAATAATAAAAAGATATCCATTATATATATACAGGCATACATAATTATTTAGATAATTGATCGATTTTCGAACGTTTTGTATATTCTATTATAGTTTTTGTACAATATTGATTAATTTTTTCATGATTTAATGATCATTCGGTTGGAAATAGGTTGAAAGCATTATCACATTTGTTAATGTATTTTTTCGAAACGTTGCTCGATTTTCGAAACCGAGATCTATTATACAGATTTCCTATTAATTAACAATGCTAATTAAAACTCTGTTAATGATTGAAACTTATAAAATGAAAGAATGCAACTCAGACTGTATGAAAACTGTAATAGAATATACAAAATGTTCAAAAATCAATAATTAAGTATCTAAATAATTATATCATTGTGAAACATTTTGTAAAATATTAAGATATTTACATAAAAGTATAAATTAATTTAAAGTCTGAACAATAGTCTTTCATTTTGCAGAGAGTTTCAATCGTTAGCAGCACACATTAAATAATTTTCTTATGATTTTTTATTGTTTTTATTATCGCTCGGAAGCTCAGGCTGAAAAGTGTAGTAAAACGAATCGAATAATAAAATCAAATAATTAACGTAACGGAAAGCCTTTTGTTTTTTTATGGAATTTTTTATGGAATAAAATAATGCATTCACACTCTCTATAAAAATAAATCAGTATATTATCACTGAAAACAGTAGACAAAGTCACTGTTGCAGCAATTATAAGTTATTATAGCACTGTAAATCAATAATATTTCACTGAAAGAATTAGTAATGTTGACTGTTTTAATCAGTAATATTAATTTATCTACCTCATCTAAAATTAAAAATTTTACTTATATTTACATGCGTATTAGAACAAGAATGTTAAATAGATGATAATTTATGTTATATCTTTAACATATGATGACGAACTAGCGATTACTGATTTTACAGTGAAATTTTACTTCCACTGATTATAATTAGTAAGTTATAAGATAAAGTAATAAAAAAGAAGCGTTTCTATTAGAGATCAATGAAATACTAATTCTTAGTGATTTTATCCATATATTTATAAATAGAAATTAATATAGTTTTCATAATAATTATATTATTATATATATATATATATATATATATATGTTTATATGTATGTATGTATATGTATATGTATGTATATGTGTATATATAATTTGAAATTAATAGAAATTAATTTTTATTTTGTCTCAAAAACGTGAAAAATACGTTTTCTTAACTATGGTTTTAAAAGCGTTTCTATAAAAACGTTTCTTATTAATGTTTTACGGTTAAAAAATATTGGATGCGTTTAAGAATCGTATATGGCACGCCATTTTGCTATTTATTAATCAGATTTTCTTAACCTAAAATAAAAATTCAATAATTGATTTAAACTGAAGTAGATAGTTTTTCGGCATCATTTTTATTATGTTATAACATAATAAAAATGAATTAAAATTATGTCAAACATAAAATTGATTCAAAATACATAGGTCCATATTCTAAATTCTTTTTTATCGATAAAAGTGCCTCTAAAAAGGACTTTATAAGCCTTTTGATTGGTTATAAGCCTACTTTTAGAGGCACTTTCATCAATGAAAGAAGATTCAAAATATGGACCATAAAGAAATATACAGCCTATACGTGGAATTATTTTTATGTCAAGACATAATATTAATTCATTTTTATTATGTTGAGATAATATTAATGTATTTTTATTTATATATCGTAACAAAATAATAATTGTAGGAATATAAATTATGTAAACTATCATAATAATTCCGTGAATTAAAACGTTACGACATAATAGAAAATCACGATTTAAAATTATGTCATGTCCTAATAGAAATTCGGTAAATAAAAATTATGTTAAAACAGAATAAAAATTGAAAATTAAAATTACGTGTGACTGTCATTTTAATCCTAAATTTTATAGTAAATTTTAAATGGAAAGCGATTTTTATTATGTTTTATAATATTTATAGAGAACTTGTATTATGCACATAATTTTCATTCCAGAATTTGTATTATGCACATAATTTTAATTCCCGAATTTCCATTATGTACATAATTTTAATTCCTGAATTAAAATTCCCGAATTTCAATTATGTACATAATTTTAATTCCTGAATTAAAATTCACGAATTAAAATTATGTACATAATGAAAATTCGTGATTGGTGGCAACCCTGCACGTCTACGCACGCGCGGCGTTACGTTCGATATCGCGGCGTTAAAGCTTGTGTTTACGATGCTAGAAATCGGTCCGAGTTCTCGGACCGAGAAATGTGTAGCCAATGAAATTGCTGCCTTTCCGTAAAAACTGCATATTAATTGGCTACACATTTTTCGATCCGAGGACTCGGACCGATTTCTAGCATCGTGGACACAAGATTTAACGCCGCGATATCGAACAGAACGCCGCGCGTGCGTAGACGTTTTACTGGAATAAGATGTTTTCTATAAAATAAGAATAAGTTGTTAATCTAATTCGATTACTTCAGAGACACATCATTGATCCGGATTAGTCTAGGGAAATTTAGAAAGTCTATCGCTGAGTACTACTGTTAGTCCGATCAAAGATCGGATTAAGGCCCGATTCCACAACTTGAGTTAATCCGAGTTTAAGTAGTGAATGGTCCAATCAGGACCCAGTTTAACGTATTAAACTCCGATTAACTCGAGTTTAATACGTTAAACTGGGTCCTGATTGGTCCATTTACTACTTAAACTCGGATTAACTGGATTGTGGAACTGGGCCTAATTGTCGTAAACACCCACAATGGCCGTAGCATAAGATTGTTAGGCGTAAGACTCAAGAAATTGACCAATCACAGTCAAGTATTAAGAGAATACTCGACTGTGATTGGTCATTTTCTTGAGTCTTACGCCGCTAGTTAGACCCAGTTCCACAATCTAGTTAATCCGAGTTTAAATAGTGAATGGACCAATCAGGATCCAGTTTAACCTATTAAACTCGGATTAACTCGAGTTGTGGAACTGGGCCTTAGCGGTTGAGTCCGCTGCATTGAACTATATAACATACTGGAAGCCGCGCAAAGATACGTTTTGTTTATTATTCCCGAGCCGAGAGAGATAGATAAGTGGTCATGCTTTCCTTGTCTTACATATTACCTGAGCTGAAAACATTAGTCTAAAGAAATGTAGCATGTGCAATGTAATACGTATTTGTTCAAATATCATTTTTTCAAATTAAAATTGTGATAAAATAATACATACATACAGTTTTGTTTCATCTACTATGATGTGAGAACTTTAGACGAATCGACTGTAATACGTTAGAGAAACAAAGAACGCATCACCTTTTAACGCCTCCTTGTCTAACAGGCTGGATCGGCCACTTTCTATGGTAGCGCGGCTTCCAGTATGTTATATAGTTCAATGGTCCGCTGAATGCGGCCATAATTGGCCGCATTCAGCGGATTCAACCGCTAAATAGCAATCGAATATGATTGGTCTCTACTTTCAGGTCCGACCAATCAGCGTCGAGTTACATCGGAAAATCTAGTAATATTGCCTAACTGTTGAGTCCGCTGAATGTGGCCATTGGCTGTGATCAAACGGGATATTCACTTGCGTCGAAGATCTACAGTTCTGCTGCACTTTGTCTTCTGCACTCTGCATCCGCCTTTTAAAAAGAACGATATAGAAAATGGTCTTGTTTAGGAAACGTAAAATTCGTTGCAGAACGCGAAAAGAAGCGAATAATGGTAAGTCATAATAAATATTCGATTTTAGTGTAGATTAATTATAGATATTGCATGTCTATTGAATTAAGTTCGGTTAAACGAAAGAAAAAAGAATTTTAGGTTATGTCTAAGTAAACATGTAAATAAATGTTTGGATTTTTTTTAGATAGCAGTGAGGATGAAATTACGATGATTAAAAAGGAGAAAAAACAAGATCATAATCCATCTTCAACATGTGAGTATTTTTTATACAAAATGTCGAATTAATATATCATTTTCTCTTACTTAAATTATACTGTTAAAATGTGCAGTTATTGAATTTTCATTAAAATTGATCTTTTCTGGAAAGATAAAAATTAATAAGGTTGCTTTTACTTAAATTATTAGGAATTAGAAGGAAAAAATGACAAAAAGAAAGACATGGCATCCATTGAAATGGTACGTAAAGTACCAATTAGAGCGTCCATTAACTATCTTAGAGCAACTGTAAGACGGGACTACCAGCCCAATATCTGCAAAGATTATAAAGAAACTGGTATATGTGGATTTGGAAGTATATATAATTATAATTTACTTTAGTATTAAATAGATATTATAGTTTAATTTAGTAAAGAGTTTTCTAAAATTAATGTAATAAAAATTTTCTTTTATTTTGTTTGAGATAGTTGTAAATTTCTTCATGACCGGGCCGATTATAAATTGTCATGGCAATTGGAAAGAGATACTGATGAAGAATGTGATGAAAATGGAGATATAGATGATAAAAAGTTTGAGATTGAAAACAGAAGGCAAACTTGCCATTTAAGTGCTGTATTTGTAAAAACAATTTTGATAACCCAATTACAAGGTATGCATTATTAACTTATTATTTTTTAATGTTATTGTTATATTAACATAACGGTAATATTAATTTAATAATATTAATTTAATAATTTTAATATTAATTTTTAATATTAATATTAATATTAATTTTTAACATTAATTTTAATATAAATTTAATAATTTTAATATTTAAAAAGTACTAATTTATTGTCTTATTTTGTTTTAGATGTAAGCATTATTTTTGTGAAAAATGTGCTTTGGGACAATATAGAAAAAGTACACGATGTTATGTTTGTAATACTCAAACTAATGGCACTTTTAATCCTGCAAAAGAAATTGCACGAACTAAAATGAAAGAAAAGGGAAAAATAATTATAGCAAGAGAAGGTTCTAGTGAAGATTGATAAAAATAGAATGATCTCTATTTGCAAATATACCAGTTTTTAAAATTAATACGAAGTATATGTAATACGAAGAGTGGCAATTTTTAGAAATTGTAAGCTTAATTTAATATAAATTATTTTGATATATATTGTTCATGTATATAATGTATTTATTATATTTTGTGAAGTATTTTTAAGTACACAATCCTTTGGATAGTTTTCCAATTTTTCTCTTACACTTATTCTTTAAATAACAAAGATATCTTTCGAAAATATGTTAAATTCATTATGAATGTTAGACCTTAATAGATATATGTACATATATATAGGTATTCATTTTTAAGAAATGTATAGTTTAATTTTTTAATATGAAAAAAATGTACATTTTCTTACAACTAACAAATATATGTGTGTATAATATATTTACCAGTTATAAAAAATATCCAATATAAAAAGCTGAAAAAGAAAAATGTTTATTTTTTGAGGGATATATACTTTTTGTAAAAATAAAAAATTAACATAGAAATTACGTCGATTATAAAATATTTGTATTAAAGTAAACTGAGTCAAATAAAAGAAGAATACGATTTATATGATAGGCAAAAATGAAAATATAATTTTTTTAAAAAAAATTGTTAAAGAGACTGGAAATGTGTGTATTTGATTTTTTCGCGCTAGGGGAAAATGTCTAGGGACATTCTGGGAAATTTTTAAGCGCACCGTCTGCTTTTTTTACAACTAGCTAAATTCACGCAATAACAGACGCATTCCACATAACTTTATTAACCAATCGAAATGCAGAGGTTCTTCGTTCCGACTGATCGATCAAACGATTTGAAGCTTTTGTAAGATCAAGTGAAGTGAGATCGATGATGCAAATTTGATAAAGATTTGCTTTTATTAGAGGATGTTTAAAATTCAGATTTTAAAATTTGCACTTTAACCGGCCGCATATTTATTAATTTTTGTCTCAGCATCCGATTATTTTTTGTAAACATATCCACTTGATATCGAATGTTTTTCGCGGAATTTATGATAAAAACAAACGATATAAGAGAGAAGATAACGGTTTATTGATATTTCGTGTAATTATAAAAGCAATGAGCTTTCAAATATGATTTATCAGAATTAAATATGTAACGTGATAAAATAAGCGAGACGTATAATTCGCAAAATAGAACATGGATCTAATTTCGAATGATCATGCGAAGATGGGAAACGGTTAGTCATAAATATATTTAATTATATTATGGTTATAATAAGTATATTTAATTATATTAAATATAATATTAAGTATAATATTAAGTATAATAAATATATTTAATTATATTAAGTATAATATTATGGTTATAATAAGTATATATAATTATATTAAGTATAATATTAAATATAATAAGAATATTTAATTATATTAAATTAAATTTGGAAATTAAATTAATTTTGGAAATTTCAAAAACTTATAGGTGTTGCTTCCACGTTTAATTGTATTAAATTAAATTTGGAAATTAAATTAATTTTGGAAATTTCAAAAACTGCATTTTCCACAGGTTCCTCTTCGTCGAACCACGAATGGACCTGGGACGAAAGGTGGTCGACGTCGTCGATCAAATTATCGAGTGATAATTTAATCGTTACATTTCATCCTGTATATAGCACTGGTACAGCAGTGACGAGGGGTAACAAGCCACTGGAGAAAGGGAGGCATCATTTTTGGGAGATTTTAATGATAACGCAAATATACGGCACGGATGTTGTAAGTTTGCTTCCCTCTCGTTGGATGTATCTTGAAATTGGAACCTTTCTATATGTTTGACAAATAACAACATGTACAATTGTCACTTTGTTGGTTTAGATGGTTGGTGTAGGAACTGCAAATGCGGAACTTCATAACGCAGGTGAGCTTTTTTGCGCTCTCCTTGGACGAGATCAAGAATCTTGGGGTTTCTCATACAAGGGATATTTACAGCACGATGGTAAGGTGTATAAGTATGGGACGACCTTTGGTCAAGATAATTTGGTAGGTGTGCATCTTGATACTTGGAGCGGAACGTTACAATTTTTCCTCAATCGAAAGCCACTAGGTAAGCGGCAAATATCTCTGTAAACATACTTTCTAGAAATATAATTGTTAGCTCTTTTATAGGTGTCGCTTTCACGAGGTTGAATAATGTTATGCTTTACCCATTAATAAGCTCCACAATGGCTCAATGCACCATGAAGTTAACTTATAGCTGCTCGATACCAGTATCTTTGCAAACTTCTTGCTTAGCAGTCTTGTCACCTGTACAAAAGGCATATCTGTCGAAAGCATTTCCCAGTTTGCGTTATCTTTCTGAAAATGTATTTGCTGATATACTACGAAAACCTATTGGTAATTCTTCTGATAAATCTTGGTTTTTGTTTTTTATAAATGTAAACGATATAAAATTTTGCATTACAGAGCATGATAATGAAGAAGACATTGAATTTCCTGCAGAATATATTATCTTAGACGATTTCGACTATGCCCTTATAGGGAATGGGGTAAAGAAGAGAAAAAAGCATTGAAAAAATACTGTGTGGCAAATATTCAAGTAATTAATATAGAAATTATTTCTATTCATACATATACACGGACACATCATACAGAATGTCCTAAAAGTTACGAACCAGTCAAATATTTCATAAACTATGCACTTTATAAAGAAATGTTTCAGACAAAAGTTGTATGGCTTGAAGGGGGCCATCAGTTAGTGGCAATGATTTGACCTTGGAGAGTCATTTGAAGCTGACGTAAAGATCACCTTCAATTTCTTAAATGGAACTCCCTATTTTTTATTACATATTCGTGTAGTTTATCTCAAGAGCTTTCCAAAACACTATAATAAAGTATTTTTTCATTGAGTAGTTTACGAGTTATGAGGCTTGAAATCATTTCTTAATTTTACATAAACCGTAAAATATCTTGTAAAATATTCATTTTTCGATTATCTTACCTTAATAATTTTATGTACAAAATAATGAGAGGAATCAATTGGTGTAAAGAAAAAACACAGTTGTTTTTAAGAAAAGAATATGTAATTTGCAATTAACAATTACATATTTTTTTTTTAAATTGACGGTGATCTTCACGTCACTTTCAAATGACTCTCCAAGATCAAATCATTGCCACTATCTGATGGCCCCCTTCAAGCTATACAACTTTTGTCTGAAACATTTCTTTCTAAAGTGCATAGTTTATGAAATATTCTACCGGTCATATTCTCCGGGACATTTGGGACACTCTGTATACATGTATGTATGTGTATGAAATACATATAAAATGTATTCAATAATAAAATAGAGATTTTATGTATTTTTATTATATTACTAAGAAATAAAAGAAAGGAATATTTTATACATGTTTATAAAATAAGATTCTTCAAAAATATTTTTTTTATTACAAAGATTTTTACAAATTATTTTTTAATACACACAAGAGATATTAAAAATAATTATCCTTTAATTTAATAAAATGATAAATCGCCATTTATGGCGTACAGTCTCTTACAAATTTAAATATATAATTAAAATCACATTTGGTCAACAATTTTATTAATTTGTGAAATCTGTTGTATAAAATAAACTATCGTTGAAAAGCATTATTTTGCTTTAGGAACTTTTGTTTGTACAAGATTTTCATTTTCAGATTTTCGTTTTCGCTTTTCGATTAATTTGGGTTGATTTTTGATATTGATTTTTGCAGAAAATACAATAGCTTGTGCCCATCCAGCTAACGGGCCCCATAATTCTCCTAAATAATTACTGACTTCAGCATGAATTTTTGGTGTAACTGTCTTCTGCTTCCTCAAGTGTGGTAAATATTTTGCTTGCGCTATTTGAAAGATATGAGTATCAACAGGTATAGCATCCAAATGGCCTAGTGACATTAAACATATACAATCAGCAACTTTGAGGCCGATTCCTGGCAAAGTCATCAATTGTTCTCTAGCAGTCTGATAAGATACATTATTTTCTTTTTGTAGATTTAGGAGCCATTTCTTTCCACCTAATGCAGATAAACGTTCCGCTGTTTTAGCTATATATGCAGCACGATAGCCAAATTTTTCCCTCTTTAGAATACTTTCTACGCTTTTTTCCTTTAAAGCTTCTATTGTTGGAAAATCGTAATATTCTCTATCTTCAATTGAGCATATCTTCTGGCCAAATAACAAACACAATTTTTCAACCATATTTGATATCCTAAAAATCAAATGTATATCTCTAGAGTCAATAATATAAGTTTATATAGAAATTCATATTTTATATATATTTTATATATATTTTTATTTATATTTCAAATTTTAAAAATATATACCTTGATATATTATTATTAGAGCTACATATAAATGAGAAGAGAGTCTCTACAACATCTTGCTTTAATATTCGCACAGCGTTACTTTCATCTAGATTTTTCTGAAAATGTGTATCTGCTTCCGCCCACTTTTTATAATGTTCCTTCAATGATATCGATAACCTTAGATATTCAGACAGAATGTCGTCATAGTGTACAGAACTTTTTAATTGCCCTTGTACAGTATACAACAGATGAGTTTCATTTTGAGATAAGGTCCAAATACATCCATCAAAGATACCTTTATATCCATCGTCACAATCGGTCCATCTGAAATAATGGGTGGTTTTAAAAAATTTTTGGTTTTAAAATAATTTTGTAAAAAAATGTAAGAAAAGTATATCTGATTAATCAATGACTCTGTGATTAGTGAAAAGTTAATAAAATATTTGTACTTCATTCCATTTTACTACCTTAATGTTAACCGTCTCTTTTTTTATTTTATTCATTTATTGTGTTTTCAGTTCATACTTGAAAAGGACCAGAACCATATTCTTTTTATTTTTTGTATTTCACTAGCGATTTCAATAATCTTAACCTTTTTTATAAAATATTTCTAAATTATCGAGACATTTTCTTGGTTATATATAAATTTGTGCGTCATCTTTACCTAAAACTTTGACCACCATGTAAAGTGAGAGCAAGATTTAGTTCCGAGCGTAAACAAGGAATGCTGCCCCGTTTTATTTTCGTTTCGTGCATCGCGTTACGATACCATGCGATCTTTGTGTAACCTCGAGAAAAAATCATCTAACGATTGACAAGTGTTGCTAAAATGTCATTCTTGTTTAATTATTATTACGTCATTCTTGTTTAATTACTATTACTATCACAACATTATACACTGCACGTGTGTTATTTAAATAAAAGATTCAATATATCAATCGCGAGCAAGGAAAACAAATTCTATCACTTGGTTCACACGTGCAGTCGACCACGTGACTAATATTTTTTTGGCGGACTCGAGAGACGCTAACTGTCACTGACAGCTGATTGACTCCAGTGGCACTTACACGTGTTTTAGCGTTATTTTGATGTCGCGCTCTTCAACATTACATGTATAATATAAGAATAATTTTTATTTAATTTTTTATTAATATTTTTATTAATATTTTTATTTAATTTTTTATTAATATTTTTATTAATATTTTTATTTAATTTTTCATTAATATTTTTATTAATATTTAATATTTTTGTTTAATATTTAATTACTTACGCTATATATTTTTTAAATTTTCTCCCTCCTTCTTTCCCTAACAGCACATGATATCATTCGAATATTCTATACTTATACTGTAAATATACATTACAGATATAATATATTGAGAATAATCCCATAACATCTCTTGTTGTATATTATTTTTCATATATTCTCAGAATATACTTTGAATATCTCGCGTATTAGTATATTCTTTCTCATATATTTTCCGGATATTCTATAATATTGCATGTGTTTCCTCATTTTGCCGCTACGCGCGCTACCAAACTCGTAGTTTAATTTTGGTGAAATGGACATAAAGGACTGGTATTTAACATGAGTTCTAAAGTTTCTTCTTTTTTCTTTTTAGTCAGTTTAATTTATAATAAGCTGACTTAATTTAAAATTTGTTTAGTAATTTAGTTGTTCTGGATTCTTGATTGGGATTCAGAATATTAAAAAGATTATTTGAAATTAAAATGAGAAATAGTGTGTGCGTTTACGGCATTTATCAAAAGTATTTATATTACATATATGAATTATACTGCAAGATATTCTCAGTATTTACTATTAACCAAAATAGGCGGATATTAGAGCATTCTTAGTATATACTTAATATATCATAGTATGTATCTCGAATGTTCTGAGAATATATGCATTGTACTTTTGCGATATTCTTCGAACATTCTCAGTATCTACATGTGCTGTTAGGGTTGGGATGTTTATTGATGACATAAAATACTGGGTTCTAGTAAAAAAGAGATTTTTTAAATTTTAATCTAAATTAATTAAATTTCAATCTAAATATCCCAGCAAGCATCAAGTAACATTTATATAATTGTTAGTTGTAATTTCCCACTGTTTTATAACTGTTAATTATAATTTCCTACTCAACAATATAATTGTTACATAACTAATATAACAATTACATGTTATGTAACAGTTATATTACAGTTATGTAACAGTTATATTGTTGAGTGGGAAATTATAATTAAGTTATGTAACTGTTATTTAGTGTTTGCTGAGATATATCTATAATGAAAGATAAAAAAATTGCATGGTTTTTTTATATGATTTTATTTTTCTTCATTAATGCATGTCACATTTCGAATACTTTCATCTACATACTTAAAAATTTGTGCGATTTTCTCATAAACGCTACGATAACTTTATTATTCTTGATTTTAATAAATGAAATAGTTAGTGCAAAAATGCTTTTATATTTACGTCATGGTAAATATAAATTACCGAATGTTTTCGATGTTGTATTTTTTATTTTTCAAATTATTATTTTTTTCAAGTATTTTAAAGTATTTGAGAGTTTAACAAGAGAGAGACTTTTTGGAAATATCTCTCTTTTCTCATATGCTTCCTTGGATTCTTTCAAATATATACGCTAATTTCTATTATCTGCTGTCGCAGATTAATAATTTACGATTTTTATATATTAATTAAATAGTCGAGATATATATTTTGGAAGCAAAAAATGATAATGAGAAATCTTTTATATACAAATCGCTCAAATCTCGAGTCAGCTATTTACTCCTACGCAAAACTTGCGCGCATGCGCGAAATGCAGGACCACGTGTACTTGCATACACACTCTTAAATGTTATATACGTGTACGCTGGAGAGATCCAGTAAATGGATCATTTCTGATTAAATCGAATATATATAGAGCAATTTTAAAATAAATCATCAAACTTTATAAGATTTATTTTTGATTATTTTGATAAAAATCAAATATACATATCTCTCTCTCTTTAGATTATTATTTTCAATTAAAAATGGAATTAAAATTGCAAAGATAAAAGTTGGATGACTTATTCTAAAATTTTCTTATACAAATTACTATCTTGAATTAAAAATATGTATTTGTAAATGGAATATAAATAATAGTGATAAAATTAATTTTTTATATCTTAATATATGTATATCTAAACATTATTTTGTGCAGCTTGTAAATAGCTAATATAAGTACATACAATAATAATATGTCATCAAAAATGCTAAGCTATCTTACGGTTAGGTTAGGTAGATTATGTTTCGTATGTTTTATGCGTCTTATTTTTTTTTTTTATTTTTACATCTTTGGAATGCTATCTAAATTTCAAATGCTTCAACGAACAAAGGGTTAAAGCTTATTATAATTCTATTAATTTGCTAATAGTATGCTATTTAAAGTTAATGAATTTTATCTACAAGTTTAACTCTACAGTACAAGGACCGCCGATATCTACGATGACATTTTACAATTAAACGGCAGATATAAACGAAGCAATTCAAGTTTAAATAAATTTTGTTGTAAAATACGACCAAGAACATTTTTATTTTTATTATATATTGTAATATATTATAAAAAATGTGGCAGAAAAATATAATAGCAATTTTATAGAGAAGAAGACATTTTAATAAACTTAATTTACGTTGAAAAATGTTTACTTGTAAATGCATTCTTCTTGTTTCCGAACGTTTTAATTGAAAATGTCTGATATGAAATTATCGGCAAAATTAATATATAATAACGATTCTTAATATATAATAATATTCTTCGTATTAAAGATATTACGATATATTGTCGATCGTGCCTTTGGCGATACATCTCGATTTAGTAATCGATTTTTTCTTTTTGCGTCTTTTTCATTTGATATATGTATTATAAATATTTCGACAAAATATTACATCCCTGAGAACTGCTATTGACATCTCCGGAAGAAGGATATTTCATTATCTGTTTACGCGTTTCGCGATCCCTTGCGCTTTACAGCCTTAGTAAGGAACATTATCCCGTACGTGAGCTTGTTTTCGGTATTCGTGATGTTGACATTTGCCCCACCAAGATCGTTTCACGCACACTTTTTGCGGTTTCAAAATAAAGCACTTTGATTGCAGCACATCGAAGAAGATCTTGCCTATAAAATCCGCCGACGTAGTCCCGGCCATCTTCAAACATGTGCGAAATCTGTAATGTTACAAAGAAGATTGCAATTTTTATATACATTAGATGCAAACACAACAATCATCTTCTTAAGCATTAAAATATTACTGCGCGCGGGATAATTTTTTATCGTTAATAAATTTATATTTGCGATATTTATATTTTATTGTTTTACATTTATTATTTTATATAGAATGTTTAGCATTTGATGCACAGAGATCAAAATCACCCCAGCAAACACCAAGTAACATTTATATAACTGTTAGTTGTAATTTCCCACTCAACAATATAATTGTTATATGTTATGTAACTGTTATATAACAGTTTTATTGTTGAGTGGGAAATTATAACTAACAGTTATATATTTTATTATATAAACTATTAGTTGTAATTTCTTACTCAACAATATAATTGTTACATGTTATGTAACTGTTAGATAACAGTTTTATTGTTGAGTGGGAAATTATAACTAACAGTTATATATTTTATTATATAAACTATTAGTTGTAATTTCTTACTCAACAATATAATTGTTACGTGTTATGTAACTGTTAGATAACAGTTTTATTGTTGAGTGGGAAATTATAACTAACAGTTATATATTTTATTATATAAACTATTAGTTGTAATTTCCTACTCAACAATATAATTGTTACATGTTATGTAACTGTTAGATAATAGTTATATTGTTGAGTGGGAAATTATAACTAACAGTTATATATTTTATTATATAAACTATTAGTTCTAATTTCCTACTCAACAATATAATTGTTACATGTTATGTAACTGTTAGATAACAGTTATATTGTTGAGTGGGAAATTATAACTAACAGTTATATATTTTATTATATAAACTATTAGTTGTAATTTCTTACTGAACAATATAATTGTTACATGTTATATAATTGTTAGATAACAGTTATATTGTTGAGTGGGAAATTATAACTAACAGTTATATAATTGTTATTTGGTGTTTGCTGGAACAAATGTTCATCATTGTATAAGAGAAATATAATAGATTGAATAAAGAAAATTAAGAGAAACATACAGGGTGTCTCAAAACTCATAATGAATCTTTCAAAGACAGATTCCTGGGATCATCTGAAGATAATTTTTCCTCGACGAAAATGTCAAGATACTAATAATTTTCGAATTATAAGTTGAATTGGAAATAAGGGATTTTTCGTAAACTAAGCTTTGTAGAAATAAAATATTAACAAAACCACCATTCTTCGATTAATTTTAAATAGAATTTACTTTAGTTGAGTTTTAATTTAAGACTTAATTGCAAAGATACATGATGACAAAAATCGGGAACATGCAAAAAATAATGGCCTTCATCGACATTTTCGCTGAGGAAAAATCGTCTCCAAATGATCCCAGAAATCTTTGAAAGATTCATTGTGAGTTTTGAGACACCCTGTAGATTAAATATAGATTAAATTATAAAATTAAGAAATTAAATTATAAAATTAAGAAATAAAATTATAAAATAAAGAAATACAATTATAAAATTAAGAAACACTAAAAAATAAATTTTGCTGAAGATTTTCCGAAAGTCAGATAATGATTCGGGATCATCCGATACTACTTGGGGGACGCATCTTTTCTCAGATCGCGCGAGGTTAAAGTAAGAGGGTAAAAACAATAACTCACCGCTCGTCGCAGGCGCAATGCATCATGCTCGATATTCTCCAGTTGAAAACGCCGTAACGCTTCCCGAACGCCGGTATATGAAAGGGACAGGACGTGTCGTGCTTGCGACAACAGGCATCGGCCAGCCCGAAGCCGCCCAGATTCGTGTATTTGGTGGCGCGGTCCCCGCGGCCGCACCATTGCGTTCCCGGGATCATGAATAGCTCCCTTCGGGTCCGATTCCGGCCCCGTTTTTTCCCAATGTTCGTCGCGTTGGTCGCCGAGTTCGCGTATTTCCTGCGTTTATTACAAGAAGAATCTTTTTCACTCCCTCTCCTTTCCGCCACGCACTTGATTGTCGCCCATAAGGATGGGGGAGAAGGAGGAGGGTGGTGTCGAGGGGTGATGTACCTATGTCGATTTTGAGTCGCGACTTGGTCTCGTACTCGCATTCTCACACGATCGCACTGATAATGAAGCTCCGATGACGACAATAGCCAAGAGAGATCGCGGGGTATCCTCGAAGCGTCCTCGCCGTCGAGTTGGAACACCTCGATCGACACCTCGTCACCGTCATCGTGATAGTGATAGACGCGGCGAGAGCTGGGCAAACACTCGCTGTCATCCCACCGTGCGAGCTTCTCGTCAATGCAATCGGTCAAAGTTTCGCCGGCGTATATCAATTGCAGCTTTCTGCTTGACTTTCGAAGCCAAACCTGCCGCAGCATCACGTCCGTGTTTCTATCGAAACAACAAATTATTATAACGTCATTTAAATGTAAAACATATTAAATTTCGAGAAATATCTTCCGTCGCACGACGTCATCGTCGTCTCTTTTTTTCGACGAATTATTTTATTTAGATCCTAAAAACCCAGCAAACACCAAGTAACAGTTATATAACATATCTGTTATATAACATATAACATATAAGTTATATAACATATAACAGATACATAACATATCTGTTATATAACATATAATAGTTACATAACATATCTGTTATGTAACTGTTATATTATTGAGTGGGAAATTACAACTAACATTTATATAACCGTTAGTTGTAATTTCCCGCTCAGCAATATAACTGTTATATGTTATGTAACTATATCTTGTTACAATTTTCCACTCAACAATATGTTATATGTTATGTAACTGTATTAGTTATAATTTCCCTACTCAACAATATAATTATTATATAACAGTTACATAACATCTAATAGTTATATAAATGTTACTTGGTGTTTGCTGGGTAGTAAATCATTCCCAGCAAACACGAAATAACAGTTATATAACTGTTAGTTATAATTTCCCACTCAACAATATAACTGTTATATAACAATTATATAACATAATACATTATATTGCTAAGTGCGAAATTACAACTAACGGTTATATAAATGTTACTTGGTGTTTGCTGGGTATAACTAGTAAATCATTTTCAATAAACATCAAATAACAATTATACAACTGTTAGTTATAATTCCCCACTCAACAATATAACTATTATGTAACAGTTATATTGTTGAATGGGGGAATTTTAACTAACAGTTATATATTTTGTTATATAAACTATTAGTTTTAATTTCCCACTCAGCAATATAAATGTTATATGTTATGCAACTGTTATATAACGGTTATATTGTTGAGTAGAAAATTATAACTAACAGTTATATAACTGTTACTTGGTGTTTGCTGGGTATAACTAGTAAATCATTTTCAATAAACACCAAATAACAGTTATACAACTGTTAGTTATAATTCCCCACTCAACAATATAACTGTTATGTAACAGTTATATTGTTGAATGGGGGAATTATAACTAACAGTTATATATTTTATTACATAAACTATTAGTTTTAATTTCCCACTCAGCAATATAAGTGTTATATGTTATGTAACTCTTATATAACAGTTATATTGTTGAGTAGGAAATTATAAGTAACAGTTATATAACTGTTATTTGATGTTTGCTGGGAATGATTTACTGTAACTGCGCGAGCAACCGTGTCTAACATTTACAAAGAATTTCTGGCGAGATTATGACGAAGTAAAATAAACTTTCGGCAACTGGGATATCTCCGAGTGTATTTCACCGTAACGCAAAGAAGGAGACAAGTACCCGGAAATGAATTTTCTCACCAAATTATTCACGCGATAAAAGCAAATTCGGAAGAAAGAGTGGGAAACGAAAGCTCAGTGGAACAGAAAGCAGAGTGTGCACTTTCTTCACGACGGTAAAAGAGCTTTCGTCCTGCCGTTTAAGTGCAAAGTGACGCTTCGTGGTTGTGGTATTTCGTGGTATCCTCGTGAGAGCATCAGCAGATGAGTCCCATCTAGGCGAGACTAAAACATAGACCGAACTACGTTTAGGTCCAGGGTCCAATCCGGTCCCTACGTAAAGGTTCCGAGACACCCGCACGTCGCAGGACCTAATCCTTGCTTACTTAACTTGCCGCTTTTCGGCTTAAGAGCTCGGTTGGCTTTGCGGTTACTGTCAACGAATAAACATGATAAATTTGTGCCATTTGTATCCCCCTTTTTCACTCTAATGAAATAACAATTATATTATTGTATTTTACACGTTTTTTTCATTATTATCACGATGTATAATTTTATTGTATTTTATTTCGTTGTAATTTAACTTTACGTTACTTGTAATCTAATTGTAATATAATTTTACGTTACTTGTAATATAATTGTAATATAATTTTACGTTACTTGTAATATAATTGTAATATAATTTTACGTGTTACTTATAATATAATTGTAATATAATTTTTAATGTTATTTTCTATCGTTTTTTTTTTTGGTATTTTTATTAAATATTTTTATTAAATATTTTTTATTAAATTACAGATGGATATACAGGATATCCCAAAAGCCCCGGACCGGTCGAATATTTCATAAACTGTGCACTTTAGAGAGAAATATTTCAGACAAAAGTATGGCTTGAAGGGGGCCATCAGATAATGGCAATGATTTGACATGGGAGAGTCATTTGAAAGTCACGTAATTTGCAATTAACAATTATATATTTTTTTCTTAAAAACAACTATGTATTTTCTTTACACCAATTGATTCCTCTCGTTATTTTGTACATAAAAGTATTAAGGTAAGATAATCGAAAAATGAATATTTTACTAAATATTTTATGGTTTATGTAAGGTTATGGTATAAAATTAAGAAATAATTTCAAGCCTCATAACTCGAAAAGTACTCAATGAAGAAATACTTTATTATAGTGTTTTGGAAAGCTCTCGAGATAAGCTATACGAATATGTAATAAAAAATAGGGGATTCTATTTAAGAAATTGAAGGTGATCTTTACGTCATCTTCAAATGACTCTCCAAGGTTAAATAATTGCCACTATCTGATGGCCGCCTTCAAGCCATACAACTTTTGTCTGAAACATTTGTTTATAAAGTGCATAGTTTATGAAATATTCGTCCGTGACTTTTGGGACACTCTGTATATTCGTTGTGCAATATTATTTTTATGAGAGAAAAATATACACTTGCTTTAATGCGTGTGATTGAGCGAGCAGAATTATGCAGATATTATCGCGCATAGCTTGATTCTATATCTTGAGTCACTTGATATATATAAGTATTAACATGCGTGACTTGACGTTTGGAAAACAGCTGATATTGCAAGTTAAATTCGTTCCTTATATAAGCCGGCGGGGAAAAAGAAGCAAAATGTAAAATCTATTCATTCGTTTGAGCATCGATCCTCATTCTGCGGGCATCATAACGCGGCATTATAATTGTATTGAAACGACTGACAAGGATTCACAGGGACCGTTCCGCTAGACTGTATCAGCGTTCTTCGGAACGATGGATGGCATTTGAAAGACCTAACCGACGCTAAATGTATACATAACAGCCAGGCTTCCACGTATATATTGGCAATAGTGAAAGGCGGCATTGTTTTCGTGCTTGCCAACCGAGTTCCCGCTACAATCCTCTCCACATATGGGTGGGACGATGGGATAGGAAGAGAGATTTGCCTATATCCGAGAAAATGTGTTATTTCAGAAAGGCAGATGGAACGGGAGAGACACACTCTAACCTTGGTTACTGTAAAAACACTCGACGCGCCCCTTCTTTTCAGGAAAAAGGACGCATGTACACACCTAAGTATCGCCAGATAAAAATAACACTCGTCAAGATCTCAGAGATTACGATAATATCGAGCAATTTCTTGCTTCCAAAGTTTATTTCCGAAATTGGACTCCCTCGATTTCAACCTGTCTCGATTTTATATTTCATATTAAGATTGTAAAAACCGATTATGCCCACCCCCAATTGACAACAGTCTCCTTGGCGCAAGCTCCGGACCACCAAATGATCCGCTCCAATCGCTCATCGGACGAGATCCTGATGATCGAGATGCTGCGGCTGGAAGACGTCCCGGTGAATTCGGACGAAACATTTGATCGTGCAAAATATGTACCTTCTTGTGACAGGTAAGCTCCGACGGACGATTGCCTGAAAATCAATCCCAATGCCAACAGCAGCAGCATCGGGTGGTACCTGTTCCAAAATATCATCAGGCCGTAATATTTTTGAATAATGCAAATGCAAAATGTATTGGATATTTTGCAAACTAAGAGAGAATCTCCTAATATATAATCTGATGTAAAATAGTTTTCTTTATATAGGAATTATTTTTAATATTATTCATCGAACATCTTAAAAACACAAATAACAATAACAATTCTTATTATGCTTCCTATGTGAAATTCGAAAATAACTTTGGAAAATGATATACAAAAATATCTTGATAAACATATTTTTCTTTGACTATCACACTGTAATTTTCTGATAAATTGATAAATACGCAGAAATTAGAAAGTATATAAATATAAGTAATTTTTGAGATTCGACAAAAATTAATTTAGTTTTATATTAATTATTTATTGAGACTCTCTCATTAATTTTTTTTTCAAGCAATGCAATTGAATTTCATTAAAAAAAATTACTTAAAATTTGGTCTACAATGAAGAGAAAGAATAGTAAAAGATTGCTAACAATTTTACTTTTATTCTTTTTTATATAATTTAAGTAAAAAATTATATACAATTAATTCGATTCTCATATAATCATTTAATTTCCTTTTATTTAAAAATTCGCGTGTATGTGTATAATATAACTGATTTATAATATATAATATATAATGTGTATTTTTTTAAGAGATTACAAACATTGTATAATTAATTCAGTCATTATCTAAAATCAAAATTTTAAAATATTTTAGAAAGCATTCCCCAAAATTATAATATAAAATTGTAAGATAATATTTATAACATATTTTGGATTTATTACATTAATCTCACGTTTATAAATTTTTAACTAATATATAGAAAATATTTGAGTAATTCTTTTTTTAAATTTATTTCTATTTACGAAAATTATAAAATGCTAAGAATCTATAATTTTAAAGAAAGAAAATATGTAGAGCAAAAATATTATATAAAAATTATTTCAAGAATTAATTGATTTTAGTGTCTGCTATGAACAATAAAAATGTATTCTAAGTAGAAGAATTTCTACTTAGAAAAAGAAATATATTGGTGTTAAAAATTTCGAAATATAATAATCTTGAAAAACACTTTTTCTAAATTATTAAAAATTTTCTTCTTTCAAAATTACACAAATTATGCTTTTAACATTTTGTTACATCTTTGTATTATTTTAGAAGAATTATTTAAAAATCTTATTTTATTAAAAAACGATATAAATATTTTTTAAATTACGAATTCACTATTACTTTTAACAATTCATACTAGCCTTTTGATTCAATATCGATCAAACTTGAATTTATTAAAGACATTTATTATACATGTTAGTGAATTCTCCTACTTTTGATTTCTTATCGCAAAATAATCCCTTTTCCAACAAATTCAACACATGATGAGATAATATGTACGTTAAACATACATATTAGGGAGAGGAAATATGATATAAATATGATATTATTCATTGATACGACGTGACATGTGCGATAACGAAACATAACTTCTTGTTTATTCGAACTGCTATCGTGAGAACATTTTTGATACTTTTCAAGAGATTGTAAATTTAAAGTGAACAAGATTGGTCATTTTTATAATTAAACTTGAACAGTTTCATCTCTCTACATTCCTTTTTATATATCTCATTTTTTTTATAAAAAAATATATTATGAAAGCTAATTAAAGATTGGAGTCTCCTTTTGAATAATTATCCTTCATCAATAATTGCTTCAATAAAATTACACAAGAGAGAACGTACCTCTTTGATACACTCATCTGTACCATCCAAGATTCAAAGCTATCGAATTCTCCCGATCTTCAAGTAATGCCATATGTGTGTACTCTCACATAACGTCGTCGCGCCGATTTGGAGAGAAACTATACGCGATTCCCCATATATTCACTCTGTTCTTCGCACTTGCGCGTTTACGCGATCGTCTTTTTTTTTATCGCGCCAAAGACAAATTGGCGAACGCGGGAGGACGATCACGTGGCTGTCAAAATTGCCCCGTTGAATAATATTCCGAGTTCGTTCGTCTCGAAATTATTCGTCTCATTTACTGAATTTACAACTTATCCCTCTCAGCTCGGCCACGTATTCTCACTCGACTGGATGCCACGCGACTCGACTGACAGGCAAGTGTCAATCCGCGGGAACCAACCACCGACCGGCCGTGTTAACAACTGGCGCGCTACGCTCGCGGCTCTCCCTTAAATACCGCCGAGTGCAGTTCGGGTGGTTCGGTGTTGTCCAACAGTTCACCTATACCAACCACCGTTCTGTCACTTACGGCCTCTTCTCATCTCTCTTCCGCGCTCCACCCCATCTTCCTCTACCCTGGTCTGCATTTCTCCCTGTACCCTACTCCGAGTCTCCTCTCCGTCGTTCGGACACCGACCAAACTCCACCCCCTTGCCCCTTCTTCTTGTCCTACTCCTTCTCGCATCATCGGCATCTACCGCCAACGAGCCGCGCGCGCGTCTGCCAAATCCAATCCCACCTACACTCGGATCCTGGGGATCTAATCTTCGCGCGGTCTTCCTCTTCTTCTCCCTCGCGATCGCGATTTCTCTCTTCTCCTTTCAGCAGTAGTCGAGGCTGTAGCCTGGACATCCCTCGGCTGGATTTCTTTCGGCCTTCAAACGACTGTAGTAAATGCCGGTGCTTTGGTCCCGCTGATGCATCCATCACCGCGCGTCACTGCACCGTGCGATCATCGATATTCGAGATTTCTCTCTAACGATGAGTCGCGAAAAAATCTGCCGTGACATAATACAGCGGATATCGGTCGCGAGCTTTCTTATACTTATCATAAAACATGCTTGTAATCGTGAAATGATTCTAAAAATAACTTGATATGCTTTACGCGCTTTGGTCTTCTTGGATACGAATTTTATAAATAAAGAGCTATCGAAAAGATATTTTTAAGAGAAATAAGCGATTGAATATCGAATATTAAATTGTATTAACCTAATTATAATAAATATAATAAAAATAATTGGATTTATCAATATTATTTTTATTATTTAATTATGTCATGCGAATAATAAAGTAATCAAATTCATAAAGTAATTATATTAATTTATAATAAAATAAATTAATTTTAAATAAAATTTAGTAGCATTTTAATTACAAATATATACAGGATTAAAAATAATAAAAAATAAATAATAAAAATAATAAAATAATAAAATAATAAAAATAATAAAAAATAATAAAAAATAAAATACTTTACTTAAAATTTAAAAAAATAAAATACTTTTGTATCAAACATTTTTTTCTAAAAGTGCCTCTGTCAATCTTAAAATTGACCTTGAAAGTAATTGTGATGAAATAATCAAGTCAATTTTAAGATCGACAAAGGCACTTTTAGAAAAAACGTTTGATACAAAAGTTTCTTATTTTTTCACGTACAATTCGAATCTGTAATAAAAAGTACCATGTTCCCCTAAAAAAATTCAACTTCCGATCCGGATAGCGTATTTCCGGTCGGAATCAAAAGTTGAAAATATCACCATTCGATAGAGCGTATCCGATTCACTTAAAAATTGTTCGTGATTTTTGATAAAAGCCATTTATATTAAATGGTATCATAAAAAAAGATAATCCAAATATGTTGAATTTTTATGATAAAAATTTGATGTTTTTATCAAAGAATATTTCTACAAAATCGTAAGACTTGAAATCTTAATCTATGCACTTTTGTCAACTCAGATATACTCAACAACAAGCGACAAGCGTAGATGGATGTGTGGAAGTAAGCTTTACTTAAAAATAAAATTAAAAAAATATATAAAAAAATATATATATAAAAATAAAAAAAAATATATAAAATTTAAAAAAAAAATGACGTTAATTTTTACATCACTTATACGTTTTCTACGATTCTTCTTTCTGCGATGCTACGATCGTACGTGGAACGTGGCGTTTGCCATCGGTGAATCGTTCGACAATAATAAATTATGCAAAACCGTGCGACAAAAGCGGTTGTCATCATTGGCTGCGAATTCTAAAACATCGTACCACGATTGGCGAGTGGCCAAAGGTCGTTTTTCGTGCGAAACGCACGATAAACCTTTGTCCCAGCATGTCGTGCGATTCTGCATGTAATTGTACGTTTCTATGTGTGCACTTTTTAAAATACATTGTTCCATAATTTCTGACGTAGTCGCGCGGAGAGTGATTTTTACATTGCTGAATATTATAAATTTCTACATGAAAAGATAATAATTTGTAATTTTTAAATAAGGACGGCGAGGGGAGGAGATAAGATATAATAATCTGAACTTCAACAGCGTTGATAAGGAAACATCTTTGAAAGTGTTTGTGAATTAATTGAGAAGATTCACGACTTTGTGAATCCACTCGGCTATTTTAGTGCGTGAAATCGTGACAGTCAAAATTATTTGGCGGCGCCGACAAATGGCAGAGAAAGGACACGACGGCGGTTTCTATCTATTGTATCCCACATAGTTATGATTCGACATCGGTCGTGAACGAAAAAATGCGGGCAGTAGAAGTCTGGGCAAGAAGTACACTAGACGTGGTGTATGTCTCTTCATCAAAAGTTAAATACTTCTGCGAGTCGAACGCATTATATTTATGCACAATTTATGACTCAGAATTACGTCAAACTCGTATTCTTTATTTGAAAACTGTGTTTTTGATACATACAAAAAAAAATTAAAAAAATTGCAAATAAAATAAAGATTTCTTACATGATATTTGATATCGAAAAGCAATAAAAAATAATAGAGATTTTAGATACTTTTATGATTTTGGTAATAATTTTATGACAATCAAGATGAATATATATATATATATATATATATATATATATATATATATATTTTATGTAAAATTAAGAAGTTATTTCAAGCCTTATAACTCAAAAAGTACTTAATGAAAAGGTACTTAATTACAGTGTTTTGGAAAGCTCTCGAGATAAGCTACAAGAATATGTAATGAAAAATAGGGAATTCCATTAAAGAAATTGAAGGTAACCTTTATGTGACCTTCAAATGACTATCCAAGGTCAAATTTTTGCCACCCATCTTCTGTCCCCCTCGAAGTCAAGCAACTTTTATTTGAAACATTTTGTTGTACATTCAAATATAAAAAAGTTATTGGGGTGGATAAATTAAAATGGCTCACCCTGTATATGATGCATTCGATTCAAAAGTATTCCAACTTGATGGCATATAAGGCGTCTAATGTACGGCACAAAAGGAGATGTAATGAAAGAAAAGGACTATGGCGTTAGGGGCAAGAAGACTTGGCGAGGGTTCGTGAGTGAGAAGGTAATTCTTGGCATACGCGATTGTTCGCTTTCGAGGGTTCCGCGAACGAGTCACCGTCTTTATATGCATGATCTTGAGGATGATAAGGCCTGGACCAAACTTATCCCAGCTGTCCTAGTGTCAAAGGCCGACCTTCCATCTGACAGTATCGGCAGCTTTTGAATGCTTCCTTGCTAATTACGAATCTGGAAGTGAGTTAGATAATACCAATCGTACTTGCTTTCGATCAACGATTGAGAGCAATTGGTTCAAGACATTCTACATGTACATATATATGTATATTGTTTCTTGTTGAGTATTAAAATTTTGAATTAAATATTACATAATTACATAATATATTAATTGAAATAATTATATAATAATTATATAACAATTATATAATAACCAATAAAATTACAAAAAAGGCTTAAAGGACCAGCTCAATGGTGAAAAGATGCGAAAATAAAAATAAAAACGGTTGTATTAATATAATAAACCTAATAAAAACGTTTATTTGATTTAAGTGACAAATGCTGCGTTTCGATCCAATTCGGATCTTTTTCAATGTCAAATCACGAAATAACAGTAAAACATGAAAATAAAATAAAATACGATCAAATTAACTCATTAGTAATGAGTTGCTGGGTAATTATATAATAATTACCCAGCAATTATATAATAATTACCCAGCAAACACAGAATATTGCAGCAATATTGCAGCAATATTACAACATTGCAGCAATGTTGCTGCAATATTCTGTGTTCGCTGGGTATATAATAATTATATAATAATTATATATTAATTATATAATAACTAATAATAATTACCCAGCAAATACAGAATGTTGCAGCAATATTACAACATTGCAGCGATGTTGCAGCAATATTACAACATAGCAGCAATGTTGCGGCAATATTACAACATTACAGCAATGTTGCTGCAATATTCTGTGTTCGCTGGGTATATAATAATTATATAATAATTATGTAATATATTTATATGATATATGGAACTCTTTGAAAATTATACGTAGAGTTCTAGACTGAGTTAGATTCTCATGGAGGGAGTTTCGTCGGCAAGAGTTGACCCCCTTTTTGGACCGCTTTCATCAAGACACTCAAGGCATTCAGGCAATCGTCCTTTTTCGCGACAATTACCACGGAATAATTACATAATTCTCGCCACACTCGACACTCGGTACTCGGGAGGGATCGTCCAAGGTAGTTAAAACCGCAAGTGGTCGAGGCGTTAGAAGGGTCGTACGCTGGTTTGCGTCAAAATAATACGTCGTAAGTGATAGACACAGCTGACTCTAAAAGCCGCGATGTCATTCCCTGAAGAAAAGGAGATAAAAGACATTAAGGATGTTTTGTACCTATTTTCAAAATATTGAGAATTTAATGAAAATTCTACAGAATGTCTTTACATATGTTTAGAATCTTCAGTATAATTTTTTAATCGATTCACTAAAGCGTTCGCGAGTTATAAGGATTTTAATTTGCACCGAATTAACATGTGTTTTTATGGGAAATGTATAACCACGTCGATTCAAATAACAAAAACACATGGAAATAATATTCAGAATTTGTTTAAAATTTGCAAAAGTTTAGATACAGAGGAAATATATATTTGGTCAAACAATAGTATACAAGTGCTAACTGGTTAAAAAGATATTAAATATAATTCAACGAAGTTAGCCATGTATCTGTCACAAGGCGAAATTCTCTGCCAAAAGTTAATCATTTCGATTAACAAAATTCGGAATATTTCAGTAAAAACGCAATAAATATTAAAAAATACTAAGATTGTAATATTCCACACAATTTCTTATACTCAAAATACACCAAAAGTGGATATTCCTCAATATTGATTTTGAGCTACTTTTTGCTGGGATTGTACAAAACATCCTTAACCTTTTATATCGATTTTATATGATTCACTTAAAGTATTTGACTTTAAATTCTAGACTCTCGGACGAATGTCAAGAACGAAAACGGGACAAATCACGAAGCAAAGAGCACTATAATCGAAATTCTGTGCCGAATCTATCGAGACACGTGGTCAGAGGCGTCAAGATTTTCGAAGAAAATCGCCGCGAATCTCGAGGAGAAGAATAGGAAAGAAGAGCGGGAAAGTCGGCCGTCTTGCTCTAGCAATTTATCCGCATCTCTCTCCCCCCTCCGTCCTTTCATTTTGGCTCGCGAAGAGACAATAGGGCAACAGTTGCAAGACGCGATAGCGGCGGATTAATTCTCGATCGATTTCGAAGCTACTCCATCCGTGCTCCGTATTGTCCACAATCGACCCTGAGAGTCGTCAGCTTTACGTAGCCGTGTATATGTCGTACGCGTGAGTTCATTAAATGTGCGCGTGTGTGCGTATTATTGATATGCACGCGCGCGCATCGAAGAAGTTGGGACAC